GTCTCTGGAAATATCAACCGTGATTGATCAGCCTTTATTTTTGTAAATTAATTTTCATCATCATTACTCCAGTCTTCAGTGTCACATGATCTTCAGAAATCATTCTAATATGCTGACATGCTGTTCAAGAAACATTTTATTATTATTATCAATATTTAAAACACTTGAGTACATTTTTTTTCAGGATTCTTTGATGAATAGAAAGATCAGCATTTATCTGAAATAAAACACTTTGTAACATTATACACTGTACCATTCAAAAGCTTGGAGTTAATTTATTTATTTATTTATTTTTTAGGGGAGGGGCCGGGGGTATATAAATTAATACTTTTATTTAGAAAGGATCCTTTAAATTGATCAAAAGTGATGATAAAGTCATTTATAATGTTACAAAAGATTTCTATTTCTGATAAATGTTGCTTTGGAATCACAGGAATAAATTACATTTTAAAATATGTTCAAATAGAAAGTTATTTTAAATAGTAAAAATATTTCACAATGTTACTGTTTTTGCTGTACTTTAGATCAAATAAATGCAGGCTTGGTGAGCAGAAGAGACTTCTTTAAAAAAAACTTTCAAAATCTTACGGTTCCAAAACTTTTGACTGGTAGTGTATATGTATTTAAAATATTATATATTTAATACTTCTATTTAATATTAAAATTATGAAAAAGTTGTTTGAATCAGTGATTCAACGACTCACTCATAAACCTATGAATCAGCGTTTTTGAACGATTCTCTTGAATAAATGATTTATTCATGATAAATGTTGCTTTGGAATCACAGGAATAAATTACATTTTAAAATATGTTCAAATAGAAAGTTATTTTAAATAGTAAAAATATTTCACAATGTTACTGTTTTTGCTGTACTTTAGATCAAATAAATGCAGGCTTGGTGAGCAGAAGAGACTTCTTTAAAAAAAACTTTCAAAATCTTACGGTTCCAAAACTTTTGACTGGTAGTGTATATGTATTTAAAATATTATATATTTAATACTTCTATTTAATATTAAAATTATGAAAAAGTTGTTTGAATCAGTGATTCAACGACTCACTCATAAACCTATGAATCAGCGTTTTTGAACGATTCTCTTGAATAAATGATTTATTCAATTATAATTTAAGTCACTTTTCGCCACCTAGTGGGGAAACAATGCAATCGACACAAACGTTATGTGGCAGTTACTTTCAAACGCGGATTTGCTTTATTTTGGTCGTGCTACCATAGACATCAATGTTTATATCTGAATTATAAACTTTCATCCCAGTATTTCTGTGATAATATGAATGACTGTATGACAGAAATAATACTGCGTAGTTGAAAAGACTGTTTGGGAAGCTGTTTCTTAGCCAAACATGGTAACTGCTCTCTGTGTGTCAGCGGCAGTGCGAACGCAGATTTGAATGATCCGGTAAGACTTTGTCAAAGGTATAATAGACACGGGAGGATCGTTGTCATTTAGAAATGAGATTGTGTGGTTGTCTGAATCGAGATCGCGATCTTTAACGATTAATTGTGCAGCTCTAATGTGAAGTGCCCTTCAACGGTCCGTCCATTAACTGAAAACAGGCTAGACTAATCGATTCTTGGGATTTAAGAATCGATATCATTCCATAAAAATGAGAATCGATTAATATCGAGATATCTATTTTTTACCCAGCCCTAGTGTGTACTGCTAGGCATCTGTGGTTTCCTCTTTTTGTGTAATTTGGATGGAAAATGTGTGCCTTTTTATTGTCTGGGTCACTTATCAAAAGTTGCTAAAAGTTAGGGATGCACGATATATCGGCCACCATATCGGTATCGGCCCATATCGGCTCATTTTTTCTGTTATCGGTATCGGCCTGATAAGAAAATTTGGCCGATATCTTAAAGCCGATAAATAATGCATTATTTCCTTCAGAGACACTTCAGATGCGCGCTGTTCGTTTGCAGCCTTTTGTGCAATTGTACTTTGTAATATTGTGTTTATTTGATGTATATCTGATTTATCTCATATAGAATGCATTTGGTTAAGTTAAAAGAGCGCTTCAGTTTACCGGTGATCATCTTTAGCTCAGCACACGCAGCTCAAACAGCAGTGCACAACATTAATAACTATGATTGGGAATGTCGTGTATATAACATTCTAATGAGAACATTATTATAATAAAACGTTGTGAATTCTTTGGGTTTAGTTGCCGTGTTTCAGCGCGTTGTTATGGGAAGAGCGCATCCACAACAGGATCACACATTCTGACTATAGCATGCAATAACTGCATCATTTTGTACATATATAAGTTGTAATATTAGGTTTATGTAATAAGCTGCCGCTTCAGTTTACCATGTTCATTCAGCTCTTCAGCTTCAGCACGTGCAGCTCAACGGCTGCTATTTAAAAATTTAAAACTTGTTACTTTTTCAAAATCATTGATATATTATTAATAACAACAACCACTTGTATTTTTCTCTTATTATTTTCATCAACAATATGGTTTAGTAATTAAAATCATTTAATTATTGTCCGTGCAGAGGCTATTCCGTTTTATTGATCTATGGCGCATTCATTTTGATTCTTTACACGTGTAATGATGTCCAGTGACTAGTTTGCATTATTTATGCATAATTTTATTTATTTGTAAGACTTTTTTATGACTAAATTTGGTAATGGGAGAGTAAAAATATTTTTAAAACGTACACCGTTCAAACTAGGCTGCTTATGTTGAAGTGTTTGGGATGTGGCTTTTAATGATGAGACCTTTTTTGTAATCAGGCTCTCAAAAAGTATATAACAATTTGGATATAGATTTATCGGCCAACATATCAGTTATCGACTTTCAAAAATAAAGAGTAATCAGTTATCGGTATCGGCCAAAATTTTCATATCGGTGCATCCCTAAAAAAAAATACCGTCATGTACCGTGAAACCGGTATAATTTTGAAAAATACTGTGATATAAATTTTCGGTCATACCGCCCAGCACTAATTAGAACATTCAAGCAGTTTAAAAAAAAATTTTTTTTTAAATGTGCCATAGAGAAAACATTGCTGGCGTGCATCACGATACAAATCAATGGCAATAACATTTTAAGATATGTCAGTGCAAGTTAATTTCAGTTAAGACAGTCTTGCACCAGGCTTAAGCCTTGTCTATGAATCTGCGCATTAAAGATGTTTTTAGATAAAATTCTGTGTCTGTCCCTCCACCCGAGCAGGCCAGAATACAACCGAGGAAAAATAGGTCAGGCTTAGCATTTGCTTGAGCATAAATTTATGATTTATTTCTAAAGCCCTTAATTTAATTTAGAAGAACGAGTGATAGACTGCAGTGACTCAGAGAAAAAGTCTCAGACTGATGGATGTCACTGATGCCCGTTTTCCACCGAAATTGTGCTGGTTCTCATAGCCAGCAAAACTGCAAACAACTCGAGAACATGCAAAGATTTTGTCTTATTTAAACACATTTTAACATCCAGTGCTATTTAATTCAGGATCGACGCAGTTTTGACACACCCATCAAAAGTTACAACGGTCATAACTCAGTCAAGTAACATCCATAAATGTTTTTGGGTAGACGGAAAAAGTCAAACCAAGTACCTAATTTTTTTTAACATTCACTTACGCCGGTTGCAGTTTCTGGCCCAAGATTACCATGTTTTAGGTGGTGTAGCCAGTTTTTTTGAGGTGGGTTAAAGGGGGCTTTGGAGGTGTGGCAAAACTTAGCCAATCACTATAATTAATCAATATAACCTAATGCTTGTGAACTTACCTGAGGCCTCTGCTTGTGCTGTGACTGGCTCTGTGTCTGACCCTGCGTCTGCTCCCAGTTGCCCCGGGCCCGGCTTCCGCCCACTGAAGTCATCATTTACAGTATATACAAATAACAGTATTTACAAAAGGAATAACACCTTTAAAAGAGAAGCAGATGGGAAAATGTTACTGACAACTCTCCAAAAAATTCAAATAACAATCGTAAAAACATCACACGGTCTCGACAAACCACTGAATTAACATTAAATATGCATGCAAATAACAACGCTACACCATGTGTAGCCAAAACTGGAAGTAAACAACGTTGCTGCCTGACGCACTACCCATAAAGCGACGGCCCAAGTTTACCAGAACACCAACAGAAATTAAATTCTAGGAACTTAGAAAGCTTTGAAAAACAAGACCAAATACTGTTTACAAGTCAAGCTGCAACAAGTCAACCATAAACGCGCTTCCGGGGCTCAATATCCTCAGTTTAAAGCTTCTTTAAATGCACACAAAAACACCGTAGCCCTTCACATTTGGATTAAAATTACACCAAAAACTGTCCACCTGATGCAAGTTGCGAAATATTGCATGTGTGGTTATGCCAAACAGCCCACCGTAGCAGCTCTGCGCATAAGGAAATGTGGTGGAAGAAAGCAACTGCGCACTTTAGATCGCGCACAGAATCGGCCAGCGTGATAGAAGCACGCGGGACCAGCCGCGGGAAAACAGACGGACAAAGCTGAACAACAACAACAAAAACTCAACGGCCTTTGAACGGGCTGAGGGCGAGGATGTAGCTGTCAAACTGAGACCATGTTGGAGACGTGAACACAACCACACAGTCCATGGGTGAAAGTCATTTTATATTTCTTGAGCACTCACACTATTCCATACAGTAAATAAAACAAGGATATATGCAACAAGTAAAGTGTCTAGGAAAAGCAGCACATAAAAGGCATTCGTTTCCATGCATTGGAACGTAAACATTACCTAAGAGTATTCAATCTATCTGTAAAATAAGCATCCAACAGGTAACCTACATTACCTGTAGTGCTCTACATCAGATCTGCATACTGGGAATCCCATATTAACTTACCGACTAAAAAGTAAGCAACTGTATAAACTTGGTTAATAATAGAAAAAAAAAATCTTAGGAGGTGAAGGATTATGATAAGTCCAGGCGATGGGCCTTGGAAAAGCAACTCGATATAAACTCAAACATGCAGATCTAACGATACGATATGAAAAATGCGCACAGTTTTTTATAGTGTTAATAGGTTATTGATACGTTAAATAAAATAGACAAGAGCTAGATTATGGGTGGCTTCCGCTCTGGCCGAGTCTAATAACCTCATGGCCGGTTATCGGGCATCATGATGCTGCTGCTGCTGCCCCAAAATTAAACTTTTCCGGTTGCTAATCAACTATATGGTTTCTCAGCGTAGATTAAAGAATAGTTGGGTAAATTGTTCGTTAGATTATTCGACACGATAATATTTTGCGTCTGCAAAACTGGAATGCACACGCCCCCCGGGGTGAGGCGCACTGAGTGGACCAAAATTCCTCCACAGCACTGTAACAGACTCATTGCAAGTTATCGCAAATGCTTGATTGCAGTTGTTGCTGCTAAGGGTGGCCCAACCAGTTATTAGGTTTAGGGGGCAAACACTTTTTCACACAAGGCCATGTAGTTTTGGATTTTGTTTTCCCTTAATAATAAAAACCTTAATTTAAAAACCGCATGTTGTGTTCACTTGTGTTATCTTTTACTAATATTTAAATTAGTTTGATGATCTGAAACATTAAAGTGTGACAAACATGCAAAAAAATAAGTAATCAGGAAGGGGGCCAACACTTTTTCACATAACTGTATCTACTACAGTACACGGCTCCATTCTGTATAACTAAACGCAGCAACATAAACATGACAAATCAAAACATTATCGCAGATGTGTGTGGAAACAACATACGGAAATGTCTGTGCCTGTGCATAAATACCATGTGCAATCAGTGCATCGAGAGCACTCATACACGCATCAATATAACAGATTAACGTGTGCTTACTGTACGACTCCTATACGCCACCGCAATCGTCTCGTCATTACCTTGATTGCAGTTTTCATCCATCAAAACTTTACTAGCAAGACTGGTTATCTAGTCGAGAAAACTTAGTTTGCGTCTCATCTGGCCATACAGTGGTGAGATGTGTTGACAATCTGTTCAGTCTGTACTTCACACAGCGCGATGTGTGAGGGCTCGCGGTCTTAAGAGACAATCACAGAATATGACCGTGTTTAAAAGCGAAACACTGGAATGAATAATTCATTGAAAACGCAAGGTGAGTCTCTGTTCTCTCTGCAATCTCTGATGTAATCAGCCTGGTTTCCTTTATATTAGCGCTGTTTTGAACGGATTGTTTGAATGCATTCGCTTACTGGATCATTAGACTGAAAACTTTCCCGGAGTTTAACAGCTTAAAATTATCTAATCGCAAGCAGAGAAGCAACAGTAATTTTGCGTAAACTGCGTTAAATTATTTTAACGCGTTAAGGATTGTAAAATTAATCACATGCATTAACGCGTTAACGTTGACAGCCCTCCTGCTCTCTCTCGTGAAGCCAACACGGAAGTGACTTGAACTGTAATTCGTCAACTGGCCGCTAGAGGCTGGCTGCAAAAGGGAGTCAATCCCATAGACTCCCCATGTTAAAATGGCCAAATTTACAGCAGAAAAAACGTTTACAGCCTGGTTCAAAAAATGATTTTGGTCTATATAGCTAATTTTGCCCTTCATGACAACTGTGAGGGGGGTGAATTTTTTTATAACTCATCCGTTTAAATTATATTAAGCCTTAAAATTCTGCATAATTAAGGGCGTGGCCACTTGAGTGACAGGCGGATTGCCGATGCTGTCACCACGTCGATCTAGGTGGGCGTGGCTTCAGCAACCAACTCCCGCCTTTTTGCCCATTTTCGATTATCCGGGAGTGACACGCTGCCAAGATGGCGACGGCCCGCTCCGCCCACTTTGAGCTTCAAAAACGCTCTTCAGAAAACTACGGGTGACGTCACGGACACTACGTCCATGTTTTTATACAGTCTATGGTTATAATGTGCAACACTGTAAAAACGCATAAAAAATCGTGGCGCAACACTGAGCAGATCTAAATTTAATGCTGCGGTCAACACTTTTCATTTAATTTGCATTTTATTCGCAGCAGCCGTAATGGATTTAGTTTAACTGTACAGCAGCATTTGTGTCTGTGTGTTGCCATAGTTTCTACAAGCGGAAACTGAGGATATGCGGATATTACATCATTGATCGGCGACAATGACCAGGGACCAGTCATTATTTAAAATTGGAATTTCTCTAGATTTACAAATCCTTGGGAACTTTTAGAATATTAAACAATATTTTTTTTGACTGTGACGTCCCTCTCCACCCCATGTTGCCCAAATTGCTCGTTTGTGCTGGGTTTGTGCTGTTAAAACAAACACTGTATCTATTTTCCTTCCTTAGATATAGGCCTAACAAAATATTTTCGGGAGCTGTGACGTCACACTCCACCCCAATTCGTCTAAATCGCACAAAGCTGGTGTCATTCATTTGTGCTCGATTTGTGCTGATTTGTGCCGTTAAAATGAACATCGTATATATTTCCCGTCCTCAGAAATAACAAATACAAAACGGGGCAGTGACGTCACTCTCCACCCCATGCCACCTAAATCTCTCCAAACGTGCCGTTCGTTTGTGCCGTTAAAAGAAACCCTGTAACTATGACCGCTTCTTAAATATAACGGAAACTTCACTCTCCATCCTATTTAGTGTTCGTGCTGCCTTAAAGGCACAATATGTAAGTTTTCGCCGCTAGAGGTCGCATTTTTTATAACAATAGGAAAGGTGAAGCTTGGAGAGTGAAAGAGAGTGGAACGAGAGTGGAACGATGGGAGATGTCGTTTTCACCATCCAGAGATGTCCAAATCATGTTCACGGATGTAATGAATTATATATTTTTTTATTATATGTACCTTCCAAAGTTATTCAAACAGCGCATAAATTATACAGAGAAAGTAAGCAAAGAACATTTACATTTTCAAAGAACAGTACATAACTGACTTCAGTCTAGCGCGAGTTTAAGCTCTCTCAAAAATAATCAGTAAATCTGTCTATACACTGTTTGATGAATGAATCTCCTACTTGCATCATACCTGTTCAATTCAAGTTTATTTGTATAGTGCTTTTCACAATACAAATCGTTGCAAAGCAACTTTACAGAAAATTAAGTTTATACAATGTATTTAGTAGTAGCTTATCAGTGGTGACTGTCAGTTAATGTACATATGGCAGAAATGTACAGAAGAATCAATTAAAGACGTAATCAAACAGACGATGAACACTATTAACAGCAATTATTATGTTGCAATCAAAACTTATAGCAAAATGTGGTAGTTCTGTATGTTGTTTCAGGGTTGGCCTCATCTGAGGTCCTCTGAGGGGTTGGCATCATCTCTTCTCATGTGTTCTGGATCCAGACTGAAGCTTGTGTCAATCCTAGTTACCACGGAATGTCAATCCCAAGCAAAATTGATTTGTTTAACCCAAGCTAAAGAATAATAATGCGCATTTGATCAGATATAACTGCAGTACAAGATTATGAGATGCATTATTTGAATGCTTGGCCAAAGAGATGTGTCTTTAATCTAGATTTAAACAGAGAGAGTGTGTCTGAACCCCGAACGTTATCAGGAAGGCTATTCCAGAGTTTGGGAGCCAAATGC